AGACATAGTGCTCTTCTGTGAGTTTCTGTTCTGGAGGCCTTTATTGTAACCAAGGAAACTACTCAGATGGTAAAGAAAAGAAGGTTTTCTAGATATGTGCCTAAAAACCACAGGCCCACACACATATCCACTTCAGTGGTTTGTCTTCCAGTGGCTCTCCAAGGGCCGGAACTGTAAAATTAGCAATCAAGAAGTGTGAGCTGACGATAGCTTTTATAGTCTTTATTGTTGTGTCCCTCAAAGGCTGTTTGATATGAAGGTCATCTGTCCCAAAATAACCAGTTTGATGGGGGACTGTCAGACCCAGTTCTTTGACCTCTTGCCCTTTTTCCAGGAGAATAGCTGCAGTCTGTGGTAATTTCTATGTAGCCATTGTGGCAGGCTCTTTGAAACTCCTCATTCTTGCATGTCACTTAGCACCTTGTGGAGCTTGGGTCCTGAATACTGTGAGGGAGCAGTGTTGCTCCTGTTTGGGCTTCTGGGTGGGTTGGGGTGTAACTCAGTGCTAGAGTGCCTACCTAGCATGTGAGGCCATGGGTTTGGTCTCAAGTTTCCTTGGCTCCTTTTTGGATTTTTTTTTTTTTTTTTGAGACAGGATGTCTCAGGTGGAGCCTTGGCTGTCCTGGACTGCTTTGTAGACCAGGCTGGCCTCAAACTCATGCCTACCTCTGCTTTCCTGAGCACTAGAATTAAAGTCCTGCGTCATTACCCCCAGCCACAATCTATTTCTTGAGAATTTATATATCTTAGGTCAGGTGTGGTGGTGCACACCGTTAATCCCAGTACTTAGGAAGCAGAGGCAGGCGGATCTCAGAGTTTGAAGCCACCTTGGTCTACACGGAGAGTTCTAGGACAGTCAGGGCTATATAGACTTTGTCTCTGAAAGAGACAGACAGAGACAGAGATAGAGAGAAGGGGGGAGGGATATAAGGAAGGAGGGAGAGATTATGATTATGTCTTGCCTGTGTGGTGGTTCATATCTATAATCCTCTGTGGGATTAGGAGTTCGAGGCCATCCTTGGCTACATAAAATCCTATCTCAAAACAACACCAAAAGCTTATATCTGAAATTTCCCATAGCACACTGACCTTTTGAGACAGAATCTCATTATGCAGACCAGGCTGATCTCAAACTCAGAGAAATCTAACAGTCTCTGTGTCCTGGATGCTAGGATTAAAGGTGTGTATCACCATGACTGGCTAGTTATAGCTTCTTGAGCATGTGGAATTTCACCACAGAAAAACCACTTGCCTCCTTTTTTATCACCAACAAAGCTTGGAATCATTAGGTTTGAGTTATATTTACTTAATTTGGTTTTTGTTATTCTATTAAAATGTAACAAATAATAGGCATAATGCAATGGCCTGTTTTGTCATTGTCTTCATTCTCTTCTATAGTCTATTTTTATTCAACCAGTTCTGCCTTCTCTTACACATATATTTCACTTAACACACACACACACACACACACACACACACACACACACACACACACAGACACACACACGTGTTGGGGATCTGCATGCTAGACAAGCATTCTACCACCCACCTACTCTCCCGTCTGTCTTTATTTCATTTAAGTAAAAGTTATTTCCAGAAGGGCACAGATGGTTCTAATACCACCTTAACCAGCTCGTCCATTTGCATGACCATGCTTCTATACTTTTATAGTATAAAAGTGTACTATACTTCTATACTTCTATTTCTAAGGGCTGCAACGTGTTCCACCAAGTGTGCCGACCCTGGCTTACCTATCACTTCTCTTGAGCATCTAAGCAATTTTTTGCTTTTGCTATAATATCTAATACTATATTAGATGTTTTTTTTTTTTTTTTTTTTTTTTTTTTTTTTTTTTTTTTTTTTTTTGCCTAGTGGTGCTGGGCATGGGACCAGGGCCTTGTTTCTTGTAGTGTTTTACCATAGAGCCATACCCCTGGCCCCTATATTTTTCTTTTGTGATTCTTTTGAAATACTGTTAACTCATTTTCTTAGGTTGAATTTGTAAGATGGAAAGAGTAATTATGTCCAAGATTTTTTAAACTTTATTTTTTATTTTTTTGTATGTAGATGTTAATGTGTGAGGGTGTGTTTATGCCATCAGTGGGTATACATGAGGTGGTCAGAGGACAATCTCAAGTGTCAGTATTCATTTTACACCTTGCTTGAAGTAGGGTTTCATTGTTTGCTGCTGTGCTACACACTCAAGGCTAGCTAGTCTAAGGGTTTCTGGAGAATTCTCCTGTCAATACCTCCCATTCTTCCATAGAAATGCTGCAATTATAGACACAATGGTAAGCATTTGGTTTTTACCTTGACTCCAAGAATATAAACTTAGATCATCAGACTTGAACAGCACAAACTTTTACCCATTAAGCCATGACCCTTGTCTAACGAGTTTGTTTATGGAAATATTTGGTTAGCATTGTTGTGATCCTTTTTATTCCACTTACTAAACTCTTCATTTGCTGGAGATCTCACTGAGACTTTGAATACTGTTCAGCATACAAAGTAAAAACTTAATTCCCTTTTGAGAATCTTACTTAGATCCTTATTACAGTCATGTGGTCATATTTCATTGGTAACGTGTTTGCTTAGCTCCTTCATATTTTTACACTTTGGCTGGAGTGATAGTGGGGTCAAGAGAGCCACCTGAAAAAACTGTTTTCTTCTGCCACAGAGCAGGTACAGGATTTATGGATGGTGGTTGCGTAGCTAGAACCCTTGGGAGTGCGCTGCTGCCCTGCTGTCCCGAGAAGGCTGCCCTCAGGAGCCCAGGCTCACATGCTGTAATGTAGGGTAGCCAAGGTACCCTCCTGTGTTACCATCTGCTCTCCCTTCTCTACCTGGGTATTCGTCATGTTCAGGTCACAAGACGTTCTCCCTACATTTGTTAAGCATTTTGCAATCTGAAGATGAGCATCTCCTTTAGTTCTTCTAGGTGACTGAGCTTTCCTTAGCTCATTCTTGGATACTGTGTGCCCACCTGTCTGTCCTGCTGTTTTCAGATCCCTGGCTTCTTTATGGTTCTGTGTTTCTGGCTCTGTTTATCTAGGACGAAATTATCCTTGTCCTAATTAACTCATACACAGACATACTGTCTTGTTTACATAGACTAGTCTATTTAGCCCATAGATTTATATTGTTAAGCTTAAGGAAAAAAAAAAAAGTAGTGGCACATGCCTTTAAGCCAGCACTTAGAAGGCAGAGAGGCAGGTGGATCTCTGAGTTCAAGGCCAGCTTGGTTTACAAAGTTGAGTCCAGGTCAGCCTAGGCTACATAGAGAAACCCTGTCTCAAAAAACTAAAAAAACTAAAAAACTTAAAAAAAAAAAAAAAAAAAAAGGAAAAGAAACAATCCACCTTTTTAGATTGTGGACCCCTGGCCTTTTCAGCAGACTTTTTCTGAGAGGTCTGCTTTTAGGTTTTGAATGGGTCACTTTTGGACAGTGGCAACCCTGGTATGTTCTGTGTTTTACAGAACAGGTGGGTAGTTTCAGGACCCGACTTCATCAAGTTGTGTACTTTTAAATTTTCTTTTGGGTATGTTGGGAATTGAACCTAGGTCCTCATGCATGCTAGGCAAGTACTCTGGAACTGAAGTTTGCTGGAGTTCTTGAGTGAGGATTTAGAGACTAGCACCTGAGTAACTTGTGTATACTGAATTCATTTTATTTTAATTAATTAATTGATTTATTTTGGTTTTCAAGACAGGGTTTCTCTGCCCTGGCTGTCCTGGAACTCCTTCTGTAGACCAGGCTGGCCTCAATCTCAGAGATCCACCTGGACTTTTCTCCTGAGTGCTGGGGTTAAAGGTGTGCGCGCTCCGTCAATGCCCAGCCTGAGTTCATTTTATGATGGCATGTGTGTGTGTGTGGGGGGGCACGTGTGTGTGGTATGTGTGCTCAGACAGTGCAGTTTACCCTTTTCTTTTAGCTTTTAGTTGGTTAGCTTGCTTGTGTATGTAGGAAGGTAGGTAGGTGTGTAATGGCAGGGTCTTATTAACTTGGGTCTTGACAATTATACTAAAGATGGCTGGCCACTTAGCACCCCAGAAATTGCTTATCTCTACTTTTCCAGTGTTGGGATTATAAAAGTGGACTATCAGGCTTGGCTTGTTCTTGTTTTTATTGATTTTTTTGTGGGGAGAGTTGGGTACTAGTTACTGAACCAGGGCCTTATGCATGCTAGGCATCTGCTTTACTACTGAGCTATATCCCCAGCCCACATATGTTTGTTTTAAGCCTGCAGAATGAATTTAGGTCCTAGGCTTACAAATCAAATAGTTTACTGACTGAGCTATATCTCCCAGTCTTTTATAGTCAGGACAATGTCACCACTATGAGAGCATGCCAAGGGCAGAGCTGAAGAACAGGCTTTTATGGATGGGTACAATTTTTACATACTGCCTGTTTAGCTCTGAACACTCAATTCCTTTCTCAGCACCTCTTTCCCACCCTACCCTACCTCCTTTTTTTTGGTGCAGAGCCTGTGTAGCCCAGGCTGGCATAGAAGCCACAGTTCTTCTGCATGCTAAGGTTTGGGTATGCACCACCACACCTGGCTTATGCTTATATCTGATTCCTTTCATTTTTCATATTTCTAACTCATTGACAATTGTTCTTTAATCATTTTTCTGACAGCTGCTAAATTGCTTTCCAAAAGCATTAACACCAGCTTTGGGTGCCAGCCATAATTGTATGAATATCCTTGCTTTATCATAAGTCTTGCCAGCATTGGGTGTCTTTGTATAAAGTAAACATACTTCAGAATTACAAATGCACAATGTTATGTCTGCTTTCTTTAGCTTGGCTTTGTGAAATGGTTGGAGTAGTGCTAAGGGAGATGTTAGAATATGCTTGGATGATTTTGGCTCCAGTGGACACCCAGAGTCAGATGTACTGTCCTACCTTGAGCAGTATCATAATAAAGTGCTTGTACTTGGTTCATTTGTTCAGGACAGTTGAGCCACTTGACTCTTATCTGTTTGCTCTGTGTCTGCAGTATGACGCTGTTCCCATTCAGTCCAGTGTGGTGCTATGTTCCTGCCCGTCCCCATCAATGGTGAGGTCCCAGACTGAGTCCAGCTCGGCCCCTGGCATTCCTAGTGGTGTTAGCAGGCAGGGACCCACTATGGACAGCACCACAGCCGAAGCCCGACCAAGCACCAACCCCTTGCAGCAGCATCCTGCCCAGCTGCCATCACAGCCTCGAAAGAAACGGCCTGAAGACTTCAAGTTTGGGAAAATTCTTGGGGAGGGCTCCTTTTCTACAGTGAGTATGTGCCTCTGCTGTTGTTGCTTATTGAACACAGGGTTCTCTTGGGATCACTGACTACTGAGAACACCTGACCAGGCATTGTTCTCCTTAGGAGGTGATTTCATGCCCATGGTTGTTTCCTGCTGTGAGTGCCATTAGAGTCTTGAAGGGAGTGAGCTCCCCCAGCAGACAACCTGAAGAGAGCATGGTTAAACTGGATTTGTCTGTTTGGGCCCATACCTTTACTCCCTACGCTCAGGAGGCTGAGGCAGAGGAGTTTAACCTGGAAGTTTCAAGGCCTACTTGGCAATGTATTAAATAACCTGGCTCAAAAACAAATAAAAGCATCTGTTGATTTACGCTGCTTTAAAACCACAGTTAACCCAACATGGGTAGGTATGCTCTGAGTCTTCCTGTCTTACTGGACTGGCCATAGGAAGCTTTTAATTCCTTAAATTGAAAGTTAGTATCAGAGTTTGTATCTCTTTGGGGACTTTTGGTAACATTCAGTGACTTCTGTTGTTGTTGATGGTTTTTTTGTTTTTGTTTTTGGTTGCTTTAGCACTTAAACTACGGCACTTTAAGTATTTGCTGGAGAGTTAGTTGGCCTTCAAATTTTTTGTTCTAACTCCCAGGACAAGTGTGTATTGCTCCAGAGTGGCCAAGAGTTCACTTTCAATTTCAAACAGTCTCAATGAAAGAGATTTCTGTCCTGCATCTGCAGTCTGAAACAAGCACTCCAGGGTAGTTGCAGAGGGTCTTAACTTTTGGAGCGTTTCAAAACAACTAGCCTTCCTTACACCTGACTGAAGAATCCATATGAGGAGTTTGCTTTCTCTTGTCTTTTTTTTTTTTTTTTTGAGACAGGGTCTCACTGCCTAGCCCTAAGTAGTTCAGGGTTTACTATGTCACTCAGGCTGGCCTTGAACTCACCGAGATCTGTCTGCCTCTGTCTCCTCGGGGCACCCATTAAAGATGAGTACCACCATGACTAGCTGAAATTTTTTTCTTATTTTTTATATTTATGAAAGATTCTAAAAAACAAAGAACATAAACAATATAGCTTACTTACATCCCTGACATCTTAAATTAACTTTGGTGGCTCTTACACTGTAAGGTTTAGGTCTTAATTAGCAACTCTGTTGAAGTAACTTTGTTTATAGAAGGGTTGTGGCCTTATGAAAAGCCTCCAACCATGAAGATCACTCCCTGTGCCTCTGGTACGCACCACGCCTTGTAGGAAGAGGAAACTGCTTGAGATCCGTGGGTGTTGCTTTCAGCTGCTTATGATATTCTAGTGAAGTTCTCCTTTTTCACAGTTTACTCCTTTATATTTAATCTTCACAGGGAAGTAAATTAGGCACCATCCTTTCTGGGTGGTACAGTCATCCGTGTTCACTGCCATTTTGAACTCGGGCCATGAGGTACCTGGGAAAGCACTGCAAGCTGGAGTCTCCTTCCAGGCTTTTTGGAATCTGCAGCCCTGGATCTCAAACTAGGTGTTACAGTGATTTGTCTCTATTCCTGAAATAGTGAACACTGAAATTAGATTTCCAGGGGAGGAGTAAAGGACATACAGTTACCAGATTCAGCAGAATATTCACTTGGCAGAGCCTGAATCTGATGCTAGAGGACAGGCTCCCAAGTACACTTTAACATCCAAGATAGTATCGACATTACCCTGGTGGCATGGAGCAACATTGTCCCATGCAGTTCTCTAGAAAACTCTTCTGTGGGAAACCTGCTTATGAAATGCTAAGTTTAGAAATCTTATCACAAGCTGGCCATGATGGCACATGCCTTTAATCTTAGCACGCTGGGAGGCTAAAACAGGTGGATCTTTGAGTTCAAGGCCAGTGTGGTTTACACAGTGAGCTCTAGACCAAGCCAGCCGAGGTTATATAATGAGACCCTGTCTCAAACGCACACACACACCCCTCTCTACCTCAGGAGGGGGTCCAGTAAACGGTAGTGCTTTTCAGCTACTTCTTTTCTTTTCATAAATAGGAAGCTATGCATGTGTGCTCAGGAAGGACTGTGAATATATATTCCATCTCGGGGGAATATATTACTTCAGCCTGCTCCTTCACCCTCGTGGCTGATAGTCATGTATATGCAGCGTGTTCCTTCAGAAAGTTCTTTGAATTCTTTCTACTTAAATATATTCAGCCCTACCTTATTCTTAGTGGTGGGTATCATAGAGTGCTTTTCCAGGATTGTTTCTAGGGAGTCGTGTCACAGGATATAACAACCAGAAGCCAGGTGACACTGAAGTTTTTCCATCAGGTCAGTGATTGGGGGAGGGGGGCTTGTTTTGTCTGCTCTTTGGTTCTCAGTTATCATTGTAGGTATCTAAAGAAACACACATCCATTTACATTATTGGCCATGTGGGGCAAAGCCTTTATTTATTTGTTTGCTTGTTTATCTATCTATCTATCTATCTATCTATCTATCTATCTATCTATCTATGCTTACTGGCAAAGCTGCACCCTGCAGCTTGGACCTGTCAGCTCTGTTCAGTCTGATGCCTCAGGTATGCCCTGAGTTTGCTGGTACTCTGTCTCTGAAGTGGATAGAGTCTGAGCACAGGAAGAGATGGGTTCAATATGGAGAGCATTCTATAAAAATGGTTTGTTCTGTACTGTTTTAGTTCTTGGTACACAGTAGAGCCATAACTATGTTCATGCTACCGAATGAAATGTATGATAGCTATTATTTGGAGAAGCCTAAGTCAAGAACAGTTTTTTTTTTTTATTTATTATGTATACAATGCTCTATCTGCATGTACACCTGCATGCCAGAAGATGGCATCAGATCTCATTATAGATGGTTGTGAGCCACAATGTGGTTGCTGGGAATTGAACTCAGGACCTTTGGAAAAGAAGCCAGTGTTAACCTCTGAGCCATCTCTCCAGCCCAAGAACAGCTTTTTATTAGGATCTGTATTGAAGAGACTTTCTTTTGTTTTTGAGACAGGGTTTCTCTAGGTAGCCTTGGCTATTTTGGAACTTGATCTGTAGACTAGGCTGGCCTCAATTTCAAAGATCTGCCTGCCTCTCCCTCCCAAATGCTGGGATTAAAGTGTACACCACCACTGCCTGTCTGAAAATACACATTCCAAAAAAAATAAATTTATTTATTTATTTATTCATTTATCTATTTATTTATTTATTTATTTATTTATTTATTTATTTATTTATGTATGAGTATTCTATCTGCATGAAAGAAGAGCGCATCAGATCCCAGTACAGATATTTGTGAGCCACCATGTGGTTGCTGAGAATTGAACTCAGGACCTCTGGAAGAGCAGACAGTGCTCTTAACTGCTGAGCTATCTCTCCAGCCTCAAAATGAGATTTATTTACTTTTATTTTATGTGTATTTGTGTTTTGCCTGTATGTATGTCTGTATGAAGGTACCAGATCACCCGGAGCTGGAGCTGCAGACAGTTATGAGCTGCCATGTGGGTGTTGGGAATTGAACCCAGGTCCTCTGGAAGAACTCTTAACTCTGGAAGTACTCTTAACCACTGAGACATCTCTCCAGCCTCTGAAAATACATATTCTTGAAGTTATTTTTCTGAAGAAATTTCTAGTACCCACTTGTGGTATTTGGGCATGTCAGTCAACAAAATTCTTTTTTGTTTGAGATAGGGAGTAGGAGGGACTACACAGGGTCTCACTGTGTAATCTAGGGTTGCCTGGAGCTTGGAGCCCAGAGCCTGCCTCTGGCTTCCAAGTGTTAAGATTAAAGGTATGAAACAGGGTGCAGTGGCAGATGCCTATAATCTCAGCATTCAGGGAGGTAGAGGTAGGGAGATCTCTGTGAGTTAGAGGCTAGCCTGGTCTACAGAGGACAGCAGCAGAGAAACCTTGTCTCAGAAAACAAACAAACAAACAAACAAGATTATACTACCATACCTATTGGTTCTTAAATTTAGACTTTGACTGTGCTATGAGAACTTCCAGTAGTCAGCTGATTATGAACTTTTGAAAACAGTGGCTCAATTACTACTTACCATCTAATTTTACTATCATGTTGCTATTAACTATTAGAACATACTAACACAGGCAGTGGCTCTCTAATATGTTTGTTAGTATAGAATCCAATGTAACTTTAAATGTAATCGTGTGTATAGGCTGAGTAGCCTGTGCATGGTGACAGTGACTTAACCAGATTGATCTCATTATTGCATTGTGTTTTTTCCACCCAAAACCAGGTTGTTCTGGCCCGAGAACTGGCCACTTCCAGAGAATATGCCAGTAAGTATTAACTCCAGTGAGCTGTATGTCTGGGATTCAGGGACAGTGCCACGTTTCTATATGTGGCAGCCTGGGTAGTGCCAGGGCCTGTGCTTGTTTCAGAGTCTGTGAAAAGGTTAGTCTTCTAGAGCATGAAAGCTTGAGTGGGTGGTTCTGGGTGGTTCTACAGCTTAGGTCAGTTACCTGTATAAATTACTATTTCTTTTACATTTTCTAATGTTAGTAAACTAACTTCTCTTTTACTTTAAGTTAAAATTCTGGAGAAGCGTCATATTATAAAAGAGAACAAAGTTCCGTACGTAACTAGAGAGAGAGATGTGATGTCACGCCTGGATCACCCCTTCTTTGTGAAACTTTACTTTACATTTCAGGATGATGAAAAGCTGTGTATCCTTTGCATGGTCAGTGCTGTCTGAAAACCGCCTTGTGTTTTAGATTAGTGGCTACATTGTTCCTTGAAAGGAAAGGATACCTCATGGTCCTCTATGGGGATTGATATCCTTGGAGGCAACAGACAGTACCACCAGCACATGGCTGAGGCTCACTAATGTGCTGTCTCTGAAGGCAAAACTGGCCCACAGTGTTGAGGTGTTTATTGATAAATGTTGTATTTAATGGTTTGTTGTTGTTTTAGCTGCATTGATGCAGAAATGTTCCCTCATTCCATTAGCAAATGTTCTGGAGTGTTTGTTAGGTGTTATTATTGGCTCCTGCTTTTGAAAAGTGAGGACCTGGGGCTGGAATGATGGCTTAGAGGTTAAGAGCAGTGACTGCTCTTCCAGAGGTCCTGAGTTCAATTCCCAGCAACCACATGGTGGCTCATAACTGTCTACAATGAGATCTGGTGCCCCCTTCTGGTGGCAGGTGTATAATGAGACAGAACATTGTATATATAAAAATAAATCTTAAAAAAGAAAGAAAGAAAAGAAAAGAAATGTGAGGGCCTGAGAGGAAAAAAATGATCTTGAGCCTCCTCAAGGCTTTTGGAATTGGCATCAACTTCTTCATACCCTCTTCCATCTTGAGTTACTGAGTGTGGTCAGAAGGACAACTTGACTGGGCATTTGAGAAGTTGGAGTGACCCAAAAGAGCCCAGAGTGGTATCCTCCTGAAGCTCTCTCTCTGTGGTAGGGTCACAGAGTATCCTCCTGAAGGAAGCTCTCTTGTGTGCTGGGCTTGCTCAGCCCTACCTCCAGCTTCTTAGGGCTGTTCAGAATGCCTCTCCAGCAGATTCACTTTGCATGTGTGTTCACTGTTCACATTCCTCTTTCTTCTACTTTTTATTTCTTATTTATTGCCCCCCTCAAGATCCTGGAACTCACTTGTATACCAGGTTGTCCTAGCTCACCAAGGATCCCTCTGTCTCCCAAGTGCTGATACTAAAGGTGTGCACCATCACACCCACCATCTTCTTTCCCTTTTAATAACAATTCTGGGTTCTTCTGCCTGATGTATCTGCTTGTGCTCCCAACCCCACTTCAAAATATTTTTTTACAGGGAGATAGGCAGAATGCTGATAAGGGAAGGTTCTGCCTTCAGGAGATTGAGTATACTTTGGGAGAGCTTGTGCACAGATGTTCAGGGTGAGTTGGAAGGACAGGTGTGGTTGTCTGCAGTGTGAATCTTTGAGCCCTGTAGATGTATGAGTGCAGAAGCATGTAGGGTCCGCAGTGGGCCAGCTCTCTGAGCTGTGAAGTCCTGATACCAATTCTCTTTTTTCTCCTAGTGTGGAGGAGTATGGGGTTTGCTCTGATTCTGGTGGTTGTGGTCCAGACTGGGGGGAAGCAGAGTTAGGTGTCTGCTGGTGTTTGCCTTCAGAGCCTGGTCTACACTGTCATCTGTCACTGAGCCCACAGAGGCTGGGCAGTGGCTAGATTAGAGTAGGTTGTCATTTGATACATGTGCTGGGGCTTGTTTGCTGTCTGAGTGGGCCAGAAAGTGGCTGTTAGCAAAGCCTCAGAGGAGGTGATGTGCAGATAAGAGCTGCCAGCCAGTTGACCAGCTATCCAGAAGAAGCCTCTAGGAGCATGGTGACTCAGGGCCACATGGAGACTTAGGGGCTGTCCTGTTGTAGCCTGGCCATCTAGTACAGAGGCCTAGTCAGAGGATTAGCCCATGAGCAAGTTGACAGTTGTATAGGCAGTTCTTGGGGGCAAAGTTGACAGAGGTGAGACAGTAGAGATCAACCAAATTAGCTTGTTTAGAGAGCATTGGTGGAAGGCCCAATAGGTTCCAGGAGAACAGATGTGTTGATGGTGATGGTCTTTAGAGCAAGTAGAGCTTACTGGTCTCAGTATCATTCCTAGTCTACCTCTGCTTGGCATTGCTCACACAGCAGCTATCAGTGGTCTCTTAATATTTTATTACATGTCTCTCTGAACCTGTGTTGGTTTTTCTTTTATGTCCCCTGTGCATGAAAGTCTTTTTTTTTTTTTTTTTTTTGAGTTTATGAAATCTGTCGTTACCAGATAGATGGAAATTCAGGCCCAGACCTGAACTTTTCTGCCACTCCTCAGGACAATGTGTTTATTTTCTTGGTCTGTTACTAGTTAGCTTTGTGTCACTGTTACAAAATGCCTGTGAAGGGAAGAGACTAGTTTAGTTCACAGTTTGTAGGCTGAGTGTCCAGATGTCATGTGTGGTGAATGGTATAGTCCTGAAGTATTTAGGGGATAGTGGACTGTGTGTGAAAAAAGAATCACGTCTCAACCTAGGAAGCAAAGTGAGTATGTGTGGCTGGATTTACTTCTTTCATGGCAATCTTTGAAGAATTTCCAATGAGACCAGTGAGTCTCAGGAGCCCAGTGACCAACAGACATGCCAGTGAGCCCAACTTCATAAAAATCGCACTACCTCACATTCCTACCACTTGGAGACCAAGCCTCCTAGTCACATGCACCCATGAGACACCCAGGTCATATCAAGACTGTGGATAGCCAAGACAGAATCACACATGCTTGCTTCATCTTCTGTCAGGGTCACAGTGGTAGGATAAGGACTCAGAAGTCAAACCAGAGTGTTCTTGCTATGTGATTTCCAAATGGGACCGGTCATGTCAGTTTAGGTGGAAAGAACTCTAGGTCTTTGTCTAATGGCCTGTACTGTTTGGGGTCTAAGACCTAAAAGGTGATAATGGTTCCCCCACTTGCATGAGAATGAGATCTGGTGGCTTCTGCCTCCACTGGTAATCCTCACTATATACATTTTGTATTGAAAAAGAAAAAAGAAACTTTTTGCATGAATAAATGCCCAAATTTGACACTGCCCTTCATTTAGTCATTATTTCAGGTGGGGAAGAAGGACCAGTCCTTGCTGGGTTTACCTTTCACAACCCTCAAGAGACTCAGGGTGAACCCATCCCATTTAGTACAGGCAAGATAAGGCAGAGCCTGGGGACACCTCTGCCATAGACTGAAAACAGACAGATTACACAGCGACTACTGATGGTTCTTCTTAGATACACTGTGGGAACCTGGGAAAGCGAGTCCAGAGGCTTTTCCCTATCTTTGTATAGTCCTGACTCAATCAGAGCCTAAACAGTGGGGACCTTCTTTTTCACAACACATGAAGACCAAGAGGTCTCATCACACAGCAGCTTTCCACCCCATTATTGTCAAGCTCTCACTTGCTTGTCCTTGTTATGCTTCATTTGTAACATAGAGTCAGGACCATTGCTCTAACCACCGGACTTGGTTCTGGTCCTGTCAGTTGTTTGCTTTGTGAACTTGAGTCAATTGCTTAATATCTCTACCAGGTTCCTCCTCTGCAAATTGGGCTTGTAGGCTCCCTGGCTCTGTTAAGTGAGGCACTTGGTTTGTGTTGCCCTGCCAGGAGCTCAACCAGTCTGCAGGTTTTGCTGCCCTGGAGCACTAATTATTGCCAAGAAGTTGGAGGATGTTTTTAGGATGCATGTTATATTGATGAGGTCTACAAGAACATTCTGCAGTGGGGAAGGATATGACTGCAGAACCATCAGTCTGATAAATAATCCCAGGCACCTGCTATGCCTAAGAGCTACAATTTGCCTCTGCTTCCCTCCTGAGCTGAGACCAATAGGTATTCCTCTCACAGGAATCAGGAACCAGTGAAGGGTCAAATAAAGGGCAAAACCATCAGGCAGGAAAGAGTGAGAAGTTACCTCCTGTTCCTTTGACCCCGTGACCAAGGCTGTGCCTTATATCTGGACTCCTAACTGGTAAGGCCCTGCTGCCAGCCTATGTCAGGCCAGAACTGGTGGTTCGACAGCATGTTTTAGTGTTTTTACTGCTGTGATAAACCACCATGAGCATGAATAACTTGGAGAGAAAAGGGTTTATTTCAGCTTCGAGTTCCACATCACAGCACATTACTGACATTAATGTCAGGACAGTAAATCAGGGCAGGAACCTCGAGATAGGAGCTGTTGCAGAGGCCATGGAGGAGTGCTGCTTACTTCCTCCTCATGGCTTGCTCAGCCTATACACACCAGGATCACCCTCTTATGGGTGGTACCACCCACAACGGGATGCTCCTTCCTAACCAATCACTAATTAAGAAAATGTACCACAGACTTGCCTATAGGCAGATCTTAGGAACGGAGTTTCTCAATTGGGAAGTCTCTCTTCCCAGATGACTCTGGCTTCTGTCAAGTTGACATAAAACTAGCCATGACATGGCATCAGCCTCCATTTTGAGGGATCAGACAGTACAGCTGGGCCTGAATAAGCCTCTGCATTCCCCACAGTAAATGTTTCAGTTCTCTGGCAGACTTTGTCTGAGTTGAGAGGGGTAGGTGGTGAGAGATGAGCCTGGCTAGTGGAATCTTTATGAGTTTTGGTTGTAGTCCTGTCTTCTGGGTTTGTTTTCTTCCCTAGAGCCTCAGGTTCCTTCCTTGGTAGATGATAGCAGTGCCTTAGCAGACAACAGCCAGAATGGAGCAAGAAGTCCACCTTGGCTTCTTGTATGAGTTTCAAGCTTGGCCTAATCATTGTTGCTTTGTTTAGTCAGCGTTTGGGCCCCTGTGGCCCAGACTGCCAGGGCGGTGTGGAACTTGGAGATGTCTAGTAAGAAGCACAAATGTTTAGTACTTTGGAGGAAAATAGTCATTTGGATCTGTTATTTTTTTGTTTTGTTTTGTTTTTGTTGTTGTTTGTTTGTTTTCAGTCTTCAGTCTCCTTTAGAGAAGGAAAGCACAAAAACAGAACATATTACATCATGAGGGTGCTAAGGAGTAGCTAGTTCTCATCTCCCTAGCAGGTATTTCTCAAATAGATCACATGAGCTGGAAAATTAAAATTGTTATTAAGTATGTCACTTTTATGCCCAGAAGGGCTGTTAGCACAGTACATGGAATATAGCAAGTTCAGGGAAGGCTCACAGTGGTTACAGTCGCTTGGCGTTCTGTTAGAACTCTGTCTTCAGAACTGTGTTCTCTTGTACTTTAAAGCCGTCACATGTTGGGTGCCTTGGCCATGCCCTAGTGACTAACGAGTTATCTAGAGGCTTCCTTTCAAGTTCACAGTGGCCTCTGGGGACCATGTGTCTAGAAGGGCACTTAGGCTGGGAGGTACTGTCCGTGGTTTTTCAGGGACTGTGCCACTGTGCCGTTGTCTCTAGATTCTGTGCTGGCACCCGGTCTTCGAGCCAGGTCCTGGATCTGATCCAAAGACAGGTGACTGTCTTAGAGCACAGGTACCTTCAATTTGCATTTGATGAAAAGAAAGTTCTTTCTGGGCTTTTAAGGTTATTTTTTTAGAAGAAAACGTATATTTTTCCATTCTTCCTTAACCATAAAATATTCAGATTTTGGCCTTAGTTATGCCAAAAATGGAGAGCTACTTAAATACATCCGCAAAATTGGTTCATTTGATGAGACCTGTACCCGGTTTTACACAGCTGAAATTGTGTCTGCATTAGAGTACTTGCATGGCAAGGGCATCATTCACAGGTAATGGACGCTACCGCAGCTGGTGTATGGCACAGTCCTCGTGGTGATTGCTGCCAGTGGCTCTGAGGTCCTCAGCAGTCCTCTGGGGTCAGCATTGGCTGGCTTTATACAAGTTATGATGTAGGTGTTTTCAGGGGGTGGCTCACTAAGAAAACTGAAAAAGCCTGGAAATAAAAGGAACTTGAACTTTGAAACCTCATGTCTAAGTCATCAGTTCAACTGGGTGGTGTGTTTTCCTGTGACAGCAGCAGCTCAGATGTCTGGTGTTTTTTATTTTGCCAGTTGCAACTTTTGTATCTATTTAATAATTCTGGTTATATAAATATATTTATTGCTTTTTCATTTTGATAAAGGTGAATTAGAACTGTACTTTATGAACTAAAAAAATAAGTTCAATAAAATGTTACTAAAAGTGGTAGATGAAGCAGCGAGGGGGACCATTGGAAGCCAGAGCTGTTAAGAAGTTTGTAACAACTCACCTGCTATATAAAGATAAGTGATACAGTTGTGAAATGATTTGGATGCCTATATCCTGTGCTGTTGATACTTCTTTGATGTGAACTTGGAGCTTGTATTATTTGTTTTTAGTCTATAAAGTTAAAATTCATCAGTTTATTTTGTTTCCATTAAAATGTGCAGCATGTGACAACGCTGCTACTTTAAACAATTCCTCTCAAAGGTAAAATTCTTTTACAGAGACCTTAAGCCAGAAAACATTTTGTTAAATGAAGACATGCACATCCAGATCACAGATTTCGGAACAGCAAAAGTGTTATCCCCAGAGAGCAAACAAGGTATGTTTGTTTGATTTTCAGCAGAACTCTGTTTTGGGCTTAAGGCTGAGAGCAACTTTGAGCAACATGTTGCATTGTACAGTCATTATCTCGAATACAGAGATCTTTTGGCTCCCCCCAGTGTGTGAACTCTAGTAGTAAGGGAAGGACCAAAGAAAGCCCTGCTAGTTCTTGTTCTACAGAACATCATATGAGGTCACTTGTGAATTTGGGGTAGAGTTGGTGGCACTATATATATATGTCTTGTGAAATTCCTGGATTCCACTGACTTCCTCTCACCTATTCTTCTGTTTCCCCGTCAGCTGCCTGTGATGGCCCAGGCATCCTCAGGAAAGTTCTAGGAAAATTATATGAGCTGATTTTGTGTGTTTATAATCACCAGCTTTACAAGTGCTGTCCAGAGTTAGTTTATAGCATTGTATCACATTGTGACAACTTTACTATCAGAGGAGTTGCTACTGAGAGTCCATTTGGTCAAGAAAAGTGGGATGATGTGCTGCCCCTCTGTCACCAACATCCTCAGTGGGTAGAAACTGCCCACTCTGGAGGTATTTAAAAAAAAAAAACAAAAACAACAATTAGACTTGTGAGGACTGTGCAACAGCATTGAGTAGACACAGTAATTCACTTATGATGCTGTCTTGGGGGAAGGAAAGTTGGTAGGAAAGTAGTTAATAAATGACCTTGCAAAGGATTCTTGATTCTGAGATGCATGTGATTCGTCAGAGCTACCTGGCCTTTCTGCCTATACTTGGGGTCTCAGTGAGAGAAAAACCACTAAGGAAGGCACTATGGGATATGGTTGACTATAGGCTTGGAGCATAGTTATGTTAGTGGAAGGAAGAGTTGATAAGCATTTTATCGTATGCTCTTTTATGGCTATGACTGCTTTTAGGAAAAGAACATGCAAGAGCACCGTGCAGCAGGCTTCTGGCTTGTCTCTACAAATAGTAAGCCAATACGTAGGAGTCAGACAGGATTATGGCTGGGGCTAAAACAGAATCCAGGTAACGAAATAGGTTCTGTTCACAAGGTGCTGTAAGAGATGGCCTACTGGCTTCCCTTCATGGAACCTTGCATTTCCTTCTACATGCTGTTTCCGTGCATGTTCTTTTTCAGATATTATCTGTTCTTTACCTCTGCACAGTCCTCTTATACTGGAAACATATCTATACCACCCTTTGGGAATAGCAAGCCTTGCCTTTGAGAAAAGAGGCTTCCTTTTTTGATGTAGTATTGTGCCCTTGTTGTCCCTTCTGTCACTGCTGAGATGCCCTGATACCTGCATCTTACTGACTCATTCCTAGTAAGTAGTAACCATCTTTCTGCCCAACAATGTTGATTTTATAGGCTTGGTATAACCTCATATTATAGCCTTGAATATTATCCATTATAAAGTTGAGCCAAATAGCCTCTGTATTTCTTAACTCTTGTGGGGAGAATCTCTGTTTTCCCATCATGCCTGCCTGAAACCTGGAGCTAAGGTGTAGCTGTGATCCTCAAGGAGCTGTTCAGTTAGGCTGTGCTTTGGACATTTCTTTCTTTGTGTAGATTTTCTTAAGAATCTGATAATTCAACACAAGACTAATAAATATTACTGCTCTGTAGCCACTTTAAAAGGTATAAAAAAGTATCCCTGCTCTGTCTGTCAAATTGAAGCTGAGTTCTCATGCTCCTCATGGGTCTGGAGTAAATAAGGTGGACTCCTGATGTGAGTTCCGAAAACCTGGTATCCACCATGGAAGGTCCCTGGACTGAAGCCCAAGTCTTATTGCCCTGGTGCCCTGAATACCTAAGCTAGTGGCGACCAAATAGAGGATGATCTCTGGTCTGCAGCTTTTTACTAGTACCTGCTTATGTGTCCAATGTATATTTAGTTGCCGCAGATCCAGCAATGCACACCACAGATAGGACTCCTGTAATGACAAGATGATGGCTGAATGGGATGAGTACTGCATGGGTACCACACATGCACATGGCACCCACTGCGGTTAGGTAAGAGGCACCAGGTAGATAGGATCCAGTAGGTATCCCTAGGTAGGGCCCATTGATGTCTCAGTTTATTCCAGGTTACCAGCTGAACCGACTACCAGGTCCCATCTGCTATAGTTAGATGTGGACACCCTGAAGAATACATAAGAGGAGCAGTGTGGTGGGGGTATAAGGGTTGCATTTTCAAGTATGACTTCTCCTTTTTTTCTCCCCCAACTTCCTAGCAAGGGCCAACTCATTTGTAGGAACAGCACAGTATGTTTCTCCAGAGCTGCTCACAGAGAAGTCGGCGTGTAAGAGGTAACCCATCTTTAATAAGCTGCCTTTTCCATCTCTGTGTGGTATCTACTAGGTTTAGTCATGAGTAGTTACTGTTTGAAAGAGAGACTTGATTTAGTAGGCTTTAAATTCCAAAGTATGAGCTTGGTACAGTAATACATCCCTTATAATCCGAGCATCTCAGAATGAATTAGTAGGATCATGAATAGAAATCCAGTCAGGTATACCTGGTAAAATCTTCCCTCTAAGCGAAAATGGTTGGACATGGTGGTGTATGCTGTTAATCCCAATACTCAGAGGCAAGTATGTCTCTGAGTTCAAAGCCATTTTAGTCTATATAGCAAATTCCAGACCAGCCAGGGCTTCATAGTGAAATCCAAAGAAGTTAGTCTTCTGTTTATTTATTTTTAAACATTCTCTTTTTCTTGATGGGTGTCTATTCTACTTTTATAACTTATAATTTATTGCTGATTGTTGCCTTTTGGGTAGAGAGCTGGTCATCTTCATTTAGGAAAGCTGCCCAGTGACCACATGGCTGGTATACAGTAGGCATGTGCTTGTTGTAGTGTCATGGGTTTTTTAGAGGTGTGTAGAAGCCCTGGAGGGACAGAAGGAAGAAGTTTTTAGCCCAGAGGATATAGTCCTGGAGTGAGGTTGTTTGAGAGAGGCAGCTGAATCTTGGTGGCGACCTCAGTCATGGATATTAGAAGCGTGCAGGATGTAGAGTGATGTGGAGACTGGCCCTGGAACAGGTTTGGTCTTGTTTCTTATGTGTGTGTGGGGGTGTTGCTTACTTGTATGTCTCTGTAACATGTGCATATGTGGTACCCATATTGACTAGAAGAGGATGTCAGACACTTGGACTAGAGTTATGGATGGTTGCAGACGACCATATAGGTTCTAGGAATGGAACCTAGGTCTTCTGGGAGAGCAATTGGCACTCTTAACCACTGTGCAGTCTCTTTCCAGCCTTCAACGGGGTAGGGAATCTGTTCATTCATTCATTCATTCATTCATTCATTCATTCATTCATTCATCTAGTTTGTTTGTTTAGAGATCAGAGGTTAGAGAGTAAAGAGGGGCCATTCTGCAGGGAGACAGTGGCCTGAGCCATGTGAGTCAAACTGACTGGCTTTAGAGACTAAGGAAAAACCTTAGGGTATGGGTTCAAGGTTTAGAGAGAGGTCCAGGAGACAGAGTCTGTTCCTTGAAGATGTGGCTGCATGCTTCTTGTCTTGAGCTAAAGTGTTTTGTATCTAGCTGCCTGGCCGCTCGGGAGTTGTGAGCACAGGTGCCCTGCTCTAGCAGTTTGCAGGCCTTTCCTGACTATTAATTCTTCCCAGTGTGGTAAGTATGTCAGCACTGATAGGAAAAGAGCTGCAGGTTCTAGGGAGTCAGGCACATGAGCCGTCAGCATTCAGGGGGATATACATGTATGTTTGCTATATGTAGTTCATGTCCTCTAAGATATATAAAACATGGGTGGAGAAAATTGTCTGTGGAGTCGAAAGAGCCATCACTGTGTCACTTGCTTTTGAGTTTTAAGTCTTGTGAAGCTCACCAAAATATTGAGGACCTTTTTTCTTAATTTTTAAATGGAATGCCTATAAGTGGCAGCAGACTATAAAACAATTAGTCTCTATCATATACTCCCAGGTATTTGCTTTTTTGTTTGTTTGGTTGGTTTTTTTGGGGTACATTTTAATTTTCATACATGTGCAGTCAAACAGTATACCCATGTGTTCTTATGGTTTCATGATGATTAATCACCTGATTCATTAAAAGTATCTGCGTACATTTTTTTCAGCTGTGCTTTTTTCTGTTGTATTAGAGTGTCATAATTTATTGAGTTATCCCATTTCATGGATGGTGCTGATGTGCCTATATGTAACCTGGGGAAGATAGAGGTGCTTGGCCTCTCATCCTTCTGATTAAGCAGACAGAGCTGAGGCTCTGGAGTTCTTGCCCCAACTGAGATTTTTAAAAGCCATGGTATGCTACTTCCAGAGCTAAAATGCAAATTGAGACAATGCTGAGATATTTCACAGAGGAGAAGCTTTCTAATCCCTTACTATTTCCACATTCTGATGGAGACTTGAGAGGGCCCTGGGTGGTTTGGCCTTACCCTGGCCCTTCTGTTTTGGTGTAGCTACTTTTCAACTTGATTTTTTTGTTTTATTTCCTATTTTACCTAGACAAAGCACTAAAGAAAACCAGCCACAGAAAATAGTAAGGTTGGGGCTGGAGAGATGGCTCAGTGGTGAAGAACATTGGCTGTTCTTTCAGAAGACTCAGGTTCAATTCTTAGCACCCATATGTTGGCGCACAACCATTTGTAATTGCAGTCTCAGGGGTCCGGAGCCTCTTCTGGCCCAGGAGGCCGCTGCACACACATGGTGCATGTAGGAAGGAAAGAAAGAGAAGAAAGAAAGGAAGGAAAAGGTCGATGGATTGATAGATGATAGATAGATAGATAGATGATAGATAGATAGATAGATAGATAGATAGATAGATAGATAGATAGATAGATAATGAGGGGGGGCTTGGTAGTATATACCTCTTCTAGCAGTTGAGGTAGACACAGGAAGATTAGGTGTTAAAGTCAGTTTTTGGCTCTAGAGGTAGTTATAGGCTATACTGGGCTGCATAAGACTTTGTCTCAAAAACTAAATGCAAACTAACCCTCCCCAAAGCAGTTACATGTAAAATCATTTTTTTTTCATTCCTTCACACTGTTAATCTCTAATTCAGATCTCTAATTTTTAGAATTGTGCTCAATCTCAGTGCCTTACCTGTCCCTTGCCTGCAAGTGCTAGGGGCGTTCAGGCAAGAACACAGCTTGCCTGCAAAGATTTGCTTCTGTAGCTGCACTGTTGTCTTCAGGGGTGGTTGTTGTTCATATTATATGATGCCAAATTACTGCTAGTAGCCCACAAAACTACATACACCTTGTATTTGGGGATAGCTGGGAATGGAAGGCAAAACTCACGTGTATGATGTCATCTCAGTAACCCAAGAGAGCACAGGAAAGTCAGACATACTAGGAGAGTGTTTTGACAGGAGAGGAACCAACCTCAGGGCTTCTGATAGCTGGGCCTCTGGGACATCTAGCTGCATTGTAGAAACTGAGAGTCCTCAGAATGTCTCTTAGTAGACATTCTGAATGGTACCCTTGCAAGGTACAAGAGGATGGATTGAGAATCTTGTGAATTTGGGGTCAGTTTAGGGAGTACAGTGAGACCCTGTCTTAAAGAAAAAGGAATAATTACAAATAAAATGGCTAGTCTAAATGTTTTTGTTTTTTATTTTTCGAGACAGAGTTCTTCTGTGTAACCCTGGCTGACCTGGAACTCACTTTATAAACAAGGCTGGCCTTGAACTCAGATATCTGCTTGCCTCTGCCTCCAGTGCTTGGGATTAAAGGCATGAGCCACCATGCCCTGCTAGTCATTTAGGTTTTAAAAGAGGGACAAGTTTTTCTTGACAGACTGCAAAAGGGGAAGTACAGGGGGCAGAACATGCATTGTATACATCCTGGAAAGGTCCTTTTGAGCCCCACATGCATCCAGCTTTTACATCTCTCCTGAGGTGAGCACGAATCATGCCCAGAGAACATTTGAGGTAATCATAGCAATATCACCCTACCGTGACAAAGCTGTCTCCCAGCTCTACTCCCAGCACCAGAAATTGCAACTAGAACTTGTCAACACTGGTTAGCATTCTTCTTCAACTTCCACCTTACCTGATGTACAGTAGCTGTGTTTGGCAAGATGTTGGCAGTGAACTATGCTCTCCTTTTAGAATGAGACAAGGACGTGTGTGTAGAAGTTGTCAACCCGCGTTAGAAGTAGCATCTGCAGGGGAGCTGAACCACTTGTTAGTTGTTCCTGCCTAGTAGAGTGCCATTTGATTCAGGACATGGGGAGATGCCCAGAAAAGCAAATCCAAACTCCCCACATACCTGGTCTTAGGGAATAGTAGTACATTGGAGGCTGAAGCTGGGGTGGTATAGACAGAGACTGTAAAATGAACCTTATTTGTCATTCAAATTATACCAATGCCATTTTTCTTTGTGTTTTCCCTACCTTAAAGTTCAGACCTTTGGGCTCTTGGATGTATAATCTATCAGCTTGTGGCAGGACTACCACCGTTCAGAGCCGGGTAAGAGGAATCCTGTATGTCTCAGACTTCTGAGTCCATCACAGCATATCCCACTGCCAACAGTAACTGGTTATGCCCAGTTGGGGAAGAACTTCCATCACAACTTATAAATGTGTGGTACTTGTGGACTTTAGTAGATCTGGTCCGGGAGGGGATGGTGACTTTGAGTACACTTAGTCCTAGATTTGGAAAACCCTTGCCCAAATAACAACATTTTTTTTTTAATTCACAGAAATGAATATCTTATATTTCAGAAGATCATTAAACTGGAATATGATTTCCCAGAGAAATTCTTCCCTAAGGCAAGGGATCTTGTGGAAAAACTTTTGGTAAGTATTTTGAATTTTCCTTGGTGAAGAATCATCATAGCTACCACTTCTGCCCTCTCTTGCACTTTCCTTTTGAAAAATGTGTTTAAGGTAGACAGTGATTATAAATAGTCAAATATTTTTATCTCATCTCATTATAATCCCTTTCACTTTTCCAGTGCCTAATTCTTGACATTAGTAAGACAGGGAATTCACTGTATTATTTTGCATATGTTTGTTAACATTGCATTTTAAGTGATTGCCATTGAGTGACTGGGTTTATCCCAGTGACAGATAGCTGCAAATCTTACTTCAGTGACATCTGCTAATGTCAATTTTAGAGTGTAAGCTACATGAAGACGTTAAAGATCAATCTAGGTAACAAGGCAGAGAGAAGAGATTTATCTTAGAAAGAGGAGTCATTTTATGTTCAGAAACTGGTGATGTTGGCCCTGTTGCTTTGGAATCTGACCTTCCTTCCTAAATCTTTAGGAATCAGTCTTATATTCATGGGTAGGCCCAGGGCTGGCTCTTCCCAGCCGTCCTGCTTGGACTGTTTTCCTTCATTTCCCTCAGTAGAGTGGCTTTAATTCAACCTTGCGGGGCTAGGAGTGACTCTGCCGCAGCCTTTGAGAGGTATGATACTCCACCCCATGAGAGCCTGAGTGTTCATTTTCTTTGTTTTTAGAAATAGTCAGTTAATTTTTTTCCTTATGTTATAATTTCTACATTTATTTATTTCTGAGACAAAGTCTTGCTGAGTACCCCAAGTTGTCCTAAAATGTTTGACAGCCCTCTTGCCTCAGCCTGAGTGCTGGGATCACAGTTACGCACCATACTTGGCTTTTGTTGTTGTTGTTGTTTGTTTTTGTTTTTGTGTTTTCAAGACAGGGTTTCTCTGTGTAACCTTGGCTGTCCTAGACTCACTTTATAGACCAGGCTGGCTTTGAACTCACAGAAAGCCGCTTGCCTCTGCTCCACCCAACAACATTTTTGTTTTCAATAGTGAGTATTTATTTTTCTCTTTTTTAAACAATATTTAATTCTTTAAGAATTTCAAATACTGTATTTTCAATATGTGCACTCCCCAACTCCTTCCATTATTACCCTCCCAAACCCCTTCCCAGCTTTGGAATTTCTTCTTCCTTTTTTTCCCCCCCCATTTCCCCATCAAGGTCAGTTTGTGTTGCCCAGTTAGTCTTGGGAGTGGGCTCTGCCCTGGTATGTGGTCAACCTACTATGAGTCACATCATTTTGTAACAGTTTTAGCTGCCAGCTTTAAAAAGATGCTTATTGCTGCCCCCTTATTTTGAGGTTGAGATTTATTGTTACCTGTGGGACGAAAAGGGCAGAGCCTTGGGGTGAGACAAGAGTCCTAGTCAATGTTGGCTTTTTCTGCCATGGCATTGGCAGGCCTGGAGATGAACCACAATGTCCCTATTCTTTCCAGGAGGTCTCAGGACTTGAAGACACTTTCCCAAAATAAATAAGCAAATAGTTACATTTAAATCCTGACAGTGACATGTCTTTGGCTATCATTTAAGGTTTTAGATGCCACAAAGCGTTTAGGCTGTGAAGAGATGGAAGGGTACGAGCCTCTCAAAGCTCATCCGTTCTTTGAGTCCATCACATGGGAAAATCTGCACCAGCAGACTCCTCCAAAGCTCACAGCTTACTTGCCAGCCATGTCAGAAGATGATGAAGACTGCTATGGCAACGTAAGCTGACACCCCTGGGGAGTAGCCCAGGCAAGGAGAGATTCTGCATGTCATGCTGTATGAATATGATCACTTGCAACCGTAACCTGTGGGATTGATTTCTGGTTAAATGTGTGAGTGAATATTGTGGACTTAGTGGTAGTCGAATGCTTTGATGTAATAAGTAAATGTCCAGTACACCTTGTGTGGGTTGATTCCTGTTCTTATTTTCTCAGCTGATGAGCTTACCTGTTAGGGCATGGGAGGGAGGCAAGATGCTGTCTGGACCTGTGGATGAGAGACCAGTGCCCTGCCGTAATCCCTTACCTGCTGACACTGGGTCTTCTGGAAGTTTATCATTGGCAGTTTTTGACTCTGAGCCTTTATGATTTTTTATTTTTTTAAAGTGCTCTGGAATGCTGCTTATTTTTCCAAGAGAACCTAGAATCTACTGACTTGAGTTTCCAGGGACACAGTGTGGAGGGTAGAGTCCAGTCCCTATAGCTTGATGCTCAGCATTAGGTGCCTATTCTGTTTCCAGGGGTGCCATTCTTTGGGTGTGTGTGCAGTTGCTGTCACTGGCTTCAAGGCAGTTTGTCTCTGAAGAATTGACAACAGACAAAAACTTTAAATATACTTTGTTCTTAAATTTCTATCTTAGCCTAGGGTGGTGGTACACACCTGTAATCCCGGCACTTAGGGAGGCAGAGGCAGCTTTGTGAGCTTGAGGCCAGCCCAGTCTACAAAGCAAGTCCAGGACAGCCAAGGCTCCACAAAGAAACCCTATCTCGAAAAACTTAAAAAAAAAAGTTTTTATCTTAAAAAAATGGGAAATACTAGCAAAAGAAGCATATAAGAAACTATAGTGTGCTTCCACTATTTCAGTCTTACCATTCTCTTCTCCCCTTGTTACCTCCATATTTAATTTCTTTGTAATAGTTCATGGATTCAAGTCAATTCATTCAATTTCTGTTTTCTTGCCTTGTTCTAACCAGTTGTCACTCATGGAGTTCTGTTCAATTGACCAAGCAATTCTGATATTTACCTAAAAGCCTTACAAAGCAGCCAGGGTTGGGGCAGGGTGGTAATCTTAGCATTGAGATGCTCAGGCAAGAAGATTGAAAGCTGAGGCAGGAGTTGAAGGACTTTCTCTCCTTCCACAGGATGTGGGTTCGATTCCTAGCACCCACGTGTTGGCTCACAACTGTCTGTAATTTTAGTCCTATAGGATCAAACACCTTTGCTGGCCTCTGGGAGTGCTAGACACACACATGGTTCATCTACGTACTTAACACTTTCTCTGACCTCTGGAAGCATTAGGCACACACATGGGGCATGCATTTAGATCTTCCTTCCTTCCTTCCTTCCTTCCTTCCTTCCTTCCTTCCTTCCTTCCTTCCTTCC